CCCCCCCTGGCAGTACACACGGGGATTTGTTTTGATGTCTCCTGCCACGAGGCCAACATCCTCAAACTCTGCCGCTCCTCCGGCGAGCCGCTTGGGTGTACACTCCAAAAACGGCCAGGTGGTTTTTGCGGATGCCCCATTTTCGGCGTAGAGATCTGTAGAGATGTGGGGAGTGTGTGTGTGTGTGTGTGTGTTGGGGGTCCACTACACCCGGTGCTGGGGGTCCACTATACCGTCTGAGAACGCACCTGGAACCGTCAGACGATGGAACAACTGGTCCTCCCACCGACGTGGAGGGTCGATGCGGAGTCACAACTGGCGGTGGCCGGGTGTGGCGTGCGATCAGATTTCCACTATATGGCTGGGTATGGCTGGGTCTATGATGTATGGCCAGGGGTACAGCTAATGCATACTGGGAGGTGGGCATGACGAATGCAACAAAAATTCTTGAATGTGCTGTCCTAGGAGGGTAGACAGATCCATCTTCCCAAGGAATAGTTGTGAGGTGTGCTGTTGTTAGTCGAAGCATGCCTTTCCAATCATAAAGGCAGATCATGTTATCTTCATCCTTCGGACATTCACCTGGTAGAAAGAGCTGCTCCAAAGGATGGAATCCAACTGTTGCTGTTCGAACCATGTTCGAACGAGGTCAGGAACTGGTAACTGGTAACAGATGAGTTCTGAGAGCCGACTCGCCGAGTCGACCATGGGTCCGACTCCCCCAGGCGCAGAGCGACGGAAATGGCCGCTGCCTTGCCGATGTGCAGCGGGGTGCTGGCACTGCAATGCTTTCAGCAACTGGAGCAGATCGATGGGAAGAAGGATTGGTGCATTTTAATAAGGGGGGACCGCTGGTAGACCATTGACCATATGGTATAGACTGATGATCTATTTTGCATTATTGTTAAAACCTTTCAGTTTCAGTGGGTGTCTTTAACAGGTCTCCCTAGAAATCCCTAGAAGGTGGCCTTTTTCTTCAAAGACCTCACTTCAGAGAAGGGTGGATTTTCTTCAGGCGTTTGTAAGACTTTACATGTACCATTTGCTCTAGTGTGGATTTTCACCCCAGTTCCAAAAACAGATCCAGCACCAAAGTCCGAACTTTTCACATAGGACGATGATTAGCTGTAGCTTCGCTGAGGGGAGCCGCCACATACAGATCCATGATATGAGGATGGGTAGTGGGATGGCTCAAAACCTGGGGCCCTCATCCACGATGTAGCTTGTGTCATACTTGCCCAATCCTCCCCAGTACCCACAGTTGAAGGGCTCTGGGAAGCGTCAGACTGGAGCGCAAGTCAGTCGTGCGTCACGTCGCTCGGTCAAACGCAAGGTCTCTTGAAAGGACGACGGACGACCGGCACGGTGCTCCGCGGCTCCATGGGTGGAGGCAAAGGGTCCATGAGGGTGCAAGCCTTTCGTCCTCTTTCGTCCATGCCATTCCTAGTTCCAAGGTCTGAAAATCCTGAGTAGTCACTTCGGAGGGCGTATATGTTATATGATCGTATATGGGTGTTTGTATGTCAGTTGCATTCATATATGTTGGCATGCTCCCAACCCTGGCAAACGGGGAAGCACAAAAAGAAGTACCTCTTAACATCCCTTAACAAGGTTCCAAAACAGTGGGAAACGATAGGGGACTCACAAATATGCACCAATCGCAGATATTTCCATTTTGACCAATGTGCTCGCTATGGTCAAAGAAGGGTGTAAGGCCCTGTTGAGCCTGCCACCCTTTGCCCACCCTGAACATGTGCCGATCCCAGGCGAGCGGGACCCAGACGGGAGAGCGGCCCGGGGCCTGAGACGTCGCCGGTGCGACCGGCAGATGTGGTGACCTTCACATGGTTTTCGACCCTTGCGCATCAACCGATGCACCGAGCGGGTCAATGGATGTCATCATAAAGGTTCCTGTAGGTTCCTGTTTTTCTGACCCCCCCAAAAAGTTTCAAAGGAATGCAGTGGACCCTGCTCAAAACCATGGCGCGTGCGCTATGCGGCCAGATGCTGCAGTTGCGGCTGTGGACCAGGAAACAGGGACACCAATAAGCTACGTACCCTAGCTGTTGGTCCGAGTGCACTATGGTGTTGTGTGTTTTTAGCTTCTAAACCTTTTGTTTGGGAGCTTGGGAAGGCCTTTCTTGTACTCTATATCATTTGGCTATATTGAATGTGTTCATTTTCAAGTTTGGTACAGTTATATTGTGCGCAATATACTGTAATGTTTTTGGTGGAAGGCTGGGAAGCAATTGGTTATTTTGCAAGCTTGGGAAAATACTGTTCTTGCTATATGGCCTTACGGACAATTGGGCGAGGAATGGGAAGGAAAACATGGTTGGAAGAACCCTTGTGAAGGAACGTTTGTGAATCAGTGCTTTGCAATGTGTATTTTATAGCATGTTCAATCCAACTATATATATATATATTGTATATTCAATCAAACTATTTAACTCCCACACCTGAAAATCCGGTCTCTCAAAACCATGTTTGAGGGTGTCTTCAACATGTCTATTTAACTCATGTGTTCAGCCATGATCAGCAAAACAATTATGGACAAACACATGTGTTCAAACTGTGTTTGCATCGCTGGGCTCCCGCCGGCCCTGGGCTCCCAGTTCCGGTCGCGCGAATCGCGCTGGAAGGGCGGCCACCCGAGCTCCGGGCGGGTCGGGGGGGGCAATGACGCCGAAGCCCGAAGGGGACCACTATCAAGTGCCTTGGCTGGCCTTGGCTGAGACTTGGAGATTTTGACAAGCTCTTCTTGGTAAGGCTAGGGATTTCGCGTCAATCCGAGTTCGCACTCACATGAGAACTCGGAGATTTGCGTGACATCTGTGCAGGGCCAAGTAGCTGTAAAGACCATCTCGTTGAATCACTTTCTTCGTTGCAGGGCCCAGTAGCCGTGCCGGAGCGGAAACGCCACGTCTGCGGGTCGCAGAAGTTCAAGCCGACCAGGAGCATCCAATGGGTGTCCAACGGACTGCACTAAACTAATCCCCTCCACCTACTGTATTTAAAAACATGGCCCCTCCTATTAACAGCCACTCGGGTGATCTCGGGTGCATGTTTCTATTTAATAGGGGGTCCCTGAAATCAGGGTTGTCCAAAATAGGGTCAGTGGGGGGATCCTTCAATCATTGTTTGACAAAAAAGTCACCCAGGAAATTGTTTTATAGAAAATCATTTATTGCACTCGCATCAAAAATTGAAAAACCTTCCAGATCGAAGGGTCTTCCTTTTCCCCTTACAAAAACATCTATTAAAATTAGTGATTCTTCATTAGACTAGCAACTAAAGCTTTCGAAAGGTGAGTCCGTGCCATTGGGGGAAGGAAAACCTGCTGGTGTAAACGCGGCGTGTCATGGTGGATAGACAGGGTGGACAGAGGTGGGCAATTAGGGGTGTTTTTGGGAACCTAATGTTAAAAAAGCTCCACCAACATCTGCAATGTTGGTAGTTTAGTAGCGGTTCTCAAGGGCGGTAATCTAAAAACAAATATAAACCGTATGTAGGGGTTTCCGACATGATAGTTTTTAAAATAGTGCAGCTTGTTTTTTTAAAATTGGTACTCGTTACCTAAGGATCTCCAAGTGGATCTCCATTGGACACCCATTGGATGCTCCTGGTAGAAGTTCTTTTGCCCACCTCTTACCCCAGCGCCGACTCCTTGTGGCTGTAGTCGTAAGGTAGGGGTACTGTCTTGTCAGATTTTGTAAATGCTAGTGCTGTGAGGACGTCGCCCGGGCATGGATTAAACTAAAACTTTTTAAAACTATCTGGCTACGCCCCATGCCCATCCATGCCCTCTTCAGAACGATTTGAGAGTGACCGAACGGAATTCCGGCTGGCTCAGGGTCTGAAGATGCACAAAGTTTGTCAGCCACCCTAGCATCGGAAAGGCCCCTAGGTAAGTGGTAATTGGTATCCACCTTCTCACTGTCGCCCTTTGCTAGCTGGTGACCTCGTGGGGAGCGATGGCTTCGGGTCCTATGGTTGGGAATCAAGATTCCCCAAACTGGGGCTGTTCAGAGCAAAACCGGGAGTTTCCTCGCCGCTGAGCTAGTTTGGCACCTCCTGCCACAGAAAAGCAGCTCCCGCTCCGAGCGGCACCGAGCGGAGCGGGTCTCAGGTGCTCGGCGTGGAGCTTGGCGCCACAAACCAGGAGCTCACCAAAGCCTACCGAAAGCTCGCCCTGACGCTCAGAGGAGCAGCGGTGAGTTTTGATCAATGCAATGAAGTTGACCCGCACAATGAAAGTATCGAAAATTTTCTCCAGCAAATCACACAGCTTCACCGAAATGAAAAATAAAGAAACACATAATGTTGGATCAGTTGTTGGATCTTAATTGGCAACCCGCCTGGCAAGCAAATGAAGGAGAATGAATAATGAGTGATTCTGGGTTATTTACTATTATTGTCAATTGTTATCATATGTTACCATTATATACTTTTAGTAAGGTAGCATTTGTATGCATTTGTACTGGTGGCGGTGGTGGTGGTGGTAGTAGTAGTAGTGGTAGTGGTAGTGGCAGCAGTAGCAGCAGCAGCAGCAGTAGCAGTAGCAGCAGCAGCAGTAGCAGCAGCAGTAGTGGAAGCAAGTAGCTGTAGTCGTAGGAGTAGTTGTAGATCAGAAGTAGGACTAGCTAGCCCTAGCTTAGGAGGAGTAGTAGTTGCAGTCAGTGTTGTAGTCGTATTAGCCGTCGTCGTAGTCGTGGTGGTGGTGGTGGTGGTGATAGTAGTAGTCGTCGTCGTTGTCGTCGTCGTTGTCGTCGTAGCAGTAGCAGTAGCAGGTCGTAGTATCGGTGGTGGTGATAGTTAGTGTAGTGGTAGTGATGGTATGTGATGGTGGTGGTATTAGCAGTTGTAGCAGCAGCAGCAGCAGTAGTGAAGTAAACAGTTGTAGTCGCAGGAGCAGTTGTAGAAGTCGGACTAGCTAGCCCTAGGACGAGTAGTTGTAGTCAGTAGTACTGGTCGTAGTAGTAGCAGTAGGGATCATGGTCGGTGCTAGTGGTAGCAGTAGTAGTGGTGGTGATAGTGTAGTGGTGGTTGTGGCGGTGGTGGTGGTGGTGGTAGTAGTAGTAGTAGTAGCAGTCGTCGTAGATGACTGTTTGTTTTGCACCACTAGGCATAGTAGAACAATAGAATGCAAAGTTCAGATGTTTTTTGGGGGTTCCAATTTCGCCCGTTCATCCAACCCCCTCAGCACTTCATTCATACGCGGATTGGTCAACACCTGGACACTAAAGTTTTCCATGAGACACTGTTTGAGGCAATGATAATGATCTTCAATGAAAGGTCACTAAGGGTTGTGGAAACGGTTTTCAGGTCAGAGTTTCAGGAACCAAGGAAAACCGGAGAGGAGGTTAAACAAGGATTTGACAGGGAAACAATTGCTCAACAATCGAAAGCGAAATCAAGAAACAAATCCGATTGTTCAAAACACCAAGGAAAATCGACCATGTTATTCCGACCACCTACACTATTCCGGGTGTGAGAATAATTCCGGGAAGATGGACATAATTTTGGGATCTATTTTATATTCCCTCCCACTTGACATTTGGGATTGAACATCCAATGGTCTCAATCTTTCGTTGAGGGCGGAATAGGGGGCCTCCGTCACCGTTTGTTTGTCGAACGTTGCTTGGAGGTCAAGAAGCGACACGGTGGATGAACAACATGGGTTGACCCAGAGCTAAGTTTGTTGGTCCTGGGTGTTGCGGGAAATGATAACTGATAAAACTTGGAGTTGTGTCACGTGGCACGCAAGGGAAGCGCTTGCACAGCCAAGGAAGTACCACCCTGACAAGAATCGTGATGCTGAGGAAAGCAACAATGGATTTGAAGAAGAAGTGGGTGGAAGGGGTGGAGATGGGATGGGATGAGATAGTGTGAGGACCCGGGGGTAGAGGAAGTTGTGGGTCCAGTGACTTCAATTTTTTTTTTACTGGGGTTGCCCATGCGCAGGCCGCCACGTTTTGTAAGCTCTCATGATTCAGCGGCACTTGGGTTGCTGCTGATGAAGTTAAGTTATATAGTTACTTATAATTAGTTAATTAACAATAGTTAGTGGTTGCTGGTCGTGAGTTGGAGATTCTGCAAGGGAGATATTTATTACGCCGGGATGTGAGTTTTTGTCCGAAATGAGCTGAGTGCTCGAAGTAGACAATGCTTGAATCGGGTCTTGGAGCCGCTTGCCAACGCGTTCATGAACCACGTCCTCAAGGACCAGGCCCCCTGGGGACCAAATTCCTCTTCTCTTTGGGCATACCGGGGGGGCTCTGTGTCTACGGTCCATTCCGTTCGTTCCACGGTCCGTCCAATCCGTCGGGTCCGGTCTTTGGACGGACCCTTGTTCCCACAGGACGGGGCAAGGGGCGAGTGCGAGGAGGCCTTCAAACGGATCACCGAGGCCGTGTCGGACTCTGGGTGCTTTGTCTTATGGGATCCGTTGACTGAGAGTTGTGAGTTGAGTATAGCTCTGTCATGGGTCACTTGACAGTTATGAAACGTGTTTCCTGCGCTCATGGACTAGGGTCGTGTGTTTTCTTTGCGCCAGGCCTACGATGTCCTGCACGACCCTCAGAAGCGGAAGTCCTACGATTCGCGCTGTGGACAGGCTTTCCAAGGCCGATTTCGTGATGGATCGGCCACGAGAGAAGTATGGATGGAGAGTGGCACAAATGTCCAAGTTTGGTGACCTGCAAATGACATCCTGCATGGTCCAGTCCAGTGCCATCGAACGTTTGAAACCGCTGTAGGACGGAGGGGAGTGTAGGACGCTCGCAGTGGAGG